TGCCTTTTATAACTCTGGCCAAAAGATCTAATAAAGGAAATGGTTACATTAGGATGTTATTTTTATTTCAGTGGCCAATCTAGTAGAAAGAACACTGGATAGGCTGCCAGGGAAGTGAGTCAGAAGATCCATCCTAGTTCTGGTTCTGCTAACAGAACTAAGATCTGGAGCACGTCAATTCGCCTGTCTTCATTTTGCTTTAGCAGGAGTTTCTCCATATTCAAAATGGTGAGGGTGAATTACGTGTTCTTTCTGCTCAAACTTTCTGGACTCCCACAGATACTGGTTAAACAACACAGGAGTGCTCATTATATAATGCAGGAAATGGAAATGACCACAGAACAGAAATAGTTTTAGTGATAAGGTGGCAGCTACCTAATTGGGAAAAGATTTCACCGGCACTGTTGCCCATGACATTCCAAAGGCATGGTAAATTGTTTCAGCATAACATAGTGGGGAAAAGGCCTGGTCAGAGTTATGTTAATGTAATATAATATGGGTATTTGATTCAGCATGATGCATAAGAAAGGTTTTGTCTGCATTCCCATGGCTTGCAGTTTCCTTAATAAATCTTAAACTGTTTTTGAAAAGCTACTTCTGCAATGACGTAAGCAGTGAGGCAGCCAGATATCACTTCTCAATCCCCTCTGAATATCTCTTGGCTGTGCAGCACTATTCACACTGGGTCTGCACTGGTCAAAAGAATGTAGGAGCTGGGTTTCCTTTGCTTTTATCTTTCCTTGTTTTAGCAGTAGAGTGGTCAAGAAAGAAATCTTGGAAAAACTCTTGTAATCTTTAACTTTTTTGCTATTTCATAGGCTAGTTCCATGAACATACTGCCATCTAGGGCAGTCACATGCAATGTGCAAACAAAACATTCTAAGATGATCAACACCAATCCCCACTGAATTAGCAGTAAGTCTCAGAAAAAGCTGACCTGGCTTACGGCCATCGATAAATAGTGGCATATACAATATTTTCTTTCCTTTTAATTTGTAAAGTAAGGAAAGGCACGTCATCTAATAAAATCAGCCCAACACACTAAACAAGTATCTTCTGTAAAAGTCCTCCCAAAAACTTTTTGACTAACTAACCCTGTTACTCTGTATCTTATTAGTCTTTGTATGGCAATTATCTACAATCTCTAGGTTTCCCACACATCAGTAAAATGATTTTTACACTTGGGTTTCTCTTATTGAGCACTAGTTGCTATAGACAACAATCTTGCCTTTAAAGCAGATATAGCACGAAGCTTCTTTTCTGCAATGTCTAAGAAACATCCTTAAACGTCATGAAAACAACTGTAAGCAAATTAACTCCCGGAAGGTTCAAATTCCTAGATGAAAGTAGAGATAAGTTCTGCCTGGCTAAATGTTTACTTTGACGGGATTTGAAAACCTGAGCTACCAATTTTGGTTTTATTTATTTTCAAAAGACAAGTTACTTTAATCAAATCCCAATAAATATTTTTAACCAACAGTTATTTTTTTAAAAATTATTCCTGTCTCCTCTCCCATCATCTGAAAACAGTAACAAGAATGGCCAGATAAAAGGTGATGATGAAAAGACTGCTACACCTCTTTTGTGTAGTACCTGCAGGGGGGCAGATCCCTTAAAAGGGCCATCACTCTTGAGTCATTTCTAAATATATTACTATGTACTTGGCTTTGAGGTACACCCGTTGGCTAGCTGTCAAAATGATAAGAAACTATCTTAACACTTTCAGAGGTTTTATGTCTTCCACCAAAGGCACCCTAAAAACTTTCCCACATGGCCAGAACCTGTCAGATTTGAGTATTAGATAAAATAACTACCACAGCAGGACCACCTGGCACCCAGAACTAGAATCCATAATCATGAGCCTAATGGTTAATCATAGCAATGTAAACAGGAGAGTACACATGTGTGTAATTAATCAGGCTATGGTGTACAACTTTTCTGATAATCAAAAACTCATTGAGATAACTCCTTTCTATAAACAGAGCCATTCACAAATACCATGCTTTTTAAACTCTCCCAAGTAATTAACAATAACTTTCTTTACTATCATTTTCTTTCCCATTAGGTAAACACATGGAATGGTAGAGACTGTGGGTACAAGAGAAAGTGCAATAGAACAGGAGGCTTGCAGATTCTGCTGCTATCTAACCCAGTTAGTTGGTTGGAGGGAAAAGATTCAGATAAGAGGATTTCTAAGGTTCCTTTTACCCCCAGAGTTATTTTGTTCTACATGCTGAAAGAATAGCTAAGCTTGAATTGTCTTCTGATTCTTAATCCTAGTTCTATGCAATTGAATTTATATTAGATATCCCCTCATCAGCTTATGAATTTGAATTTTCCCCACAATTTCCCCAACGCTTGCTCATTTCCATATGTGCCAAGTGTTTTTTTTCTTCCATACTCAGGAGGACTCTGTTATTCTCCCTTCTGTCCAAGCCAGCCCTATCCATTCATGTACTCTACTCTTAACCCATAAGGCAGGGAGGGACAGAAAATCTCAAATGTTCTGTTTTGTACCTGGATTCAAAAGCAACATCTGCTATGTCTATGGAACCATCTGTTGCCCACTTTGCCATGGAAAGGACGGTGCAGGCATCAGAAGTGGAGTGTCACAGGTCGTATAATGGAATTACCCCTTTCTGGGACTGGGGCACCCAGGCATGTGCCCCTCACTCTCTATGGCTAATGCCGCCCCTCCCCCATCAAAGCATGTATTTATTTTCTCACAGGGAATGGTGCTTTGAAACTTTCATACAAGGTCAGGTCCAGTGTGTTTTGGTTTTGGTTCCCATTTGCCTGAATCTCTATTTAAAATTTTTTAACACCTGGGTTGTACCTAGAACTTTGTCTGCCTGCCGTTAGCTCACTTGAGACCTTATGAGTCCTAAAGTTCTGAGTGTCTCAGTTTTTTCCATCTATAAAAAGAAGGGGTAGAAATTAAGTGATCTCTGAGGCTCCCTTGTGCTCTACTGCTCCCAAATCCCATGACTTTAATCCAACTCAAAGTTGTCAATGAACACAAGTTCCTGGACCTCTATGGTATATTAAGACTCTAAATGGCAAGGGCAAAAGAATCTGCTACCTACAAAACGGCTTCTGTGATAAGGGTCTCTTGTTTAACACAGTTAAACAAGTTTCTTGAGGATCCAAATTAGATTAAGATCCCTAATCCTGTTAACCTACTCCCCCAGGCAATACTCTAGTGCAGGGCTTGGGGCTGCATAATTGTTTTTGTGTCCGGTACATGGCAGGATGCTGAACCGCATCCCAGGCCTCTACCCACTATATGGCAGTAGCACTCCACTCCTGTCAGTGGTTACCACCAAAAATACCTTGCCAATATCCCCTGGGGGCCAAAATCCCCTCTCCCATTGAGAACCACAGCTCCAATGTACGTCAGGACTTTAAGATGACGCACATCACTTCGGTGTTTTTGTTTCAAAAGAGTGACATTTACACAATCAACAATTAAGTACACCAAGACTTTACAGATAGATTTATAAGGCACAGGTACTTCACCTAGAAAATATACAAAGCCACTATCACTGTAAGCCATCCACAGCACTATAGCACTGCCTCCCTGCTAAGGGTTGAAAATTAGGATATACAGTCATAACGTTAACTACTCTTTTAAAAACATTTAAAAGGAGACCGGGTGTGGTAGCTCATGCCTGTAATCCCAGCACTTTGGGAGGCCCAGGCAGGCGGATCACCTGAGGTCAAGAGTTTGAGACCAGCCTGACCAACATGGCAAAACCCTGTCACTACTAAAAATACAAAAATTAGCCAGGCGTGGTGGCGGGCGCCTGTAATCCCGGCTACTTGGGAGGCCGAGACAGGAAAATGGCTTGAACCAAGGAGGCAAAAGTCGCAGTGAGCCGAGGTAACTTCTCCAATGCACTCCAGAGTCAACTCTTGCTTACAGACCTCAAAATGGAGCTTTGAAGAAAATAGTGAAAACTAGAGGTTGGTTAATCACTTTGGCTTATTTTGTCCTCTCTTGCACACACGCACAAACACACAGGGTAAATAAAATGTTTCTGGAAAGGCTGCTAACGAATTTCAGCTTGGTCACAGTTCTTGAAGATAGGAGTGAGCAAGCTCTTAGTCCAATTTCCTAAATATCTTTTCCTCCCCATTTCAAACAGGGATCCAGGCGACACCCATGGCAGTCGATCTCAACACCAAAAGAACAGCAGCTGCCAGCTGCATACAACAGATTGAGGCCTGCAAATTGACTGAAATGATGACTACTCTTAACCAGACATCTCATTTTTCCACTTGTGACAGGCTGAGATCTGCAAACCTCTGGGTCTCAGGAGGTGAAGGCTACATTAGCCAACTAAGAGCAAAAACTCAACTCTTCCTTGTCATTAAAGCATTTGCCAGTTATAAATGGTTTGGAGACTTTACAGAATTTAAGTACATGTAATGTTTAAATTTCCCTATTAAATGTAAGAGGCAAAGAAAATCCTTCTAAATAACTAAGCAGAGGATATGAAAGGGGAGCCAAGAATAGGCACAACTGTTACTTTTCAAAGAACCTTCGCTCTTTATTCAAACAAATATTTACACAATTGAAGGCAACGGCAAGGGAGATATAGCCATTCAGTGAAAATAGTGGGCAACTCTAACGGTTTATTTATCCCAAATCCGACTGTTCTGTTGCTATCCTACCAGGAACCAAGAATTCAAGTGTTCACAGGGCAAAAGTTTAACCTTCTGAAACTGTGGACCTCATTTAGATCTCTCCCGGCCGAATTCAAACGTTAGAATCCCAGAGACATATCTCGAACGCCCAAATTAAACCAAACTAGGAAGCTTAAAATTACACGTCCAAAATTTGAAAATCTACATCTGTAACTTACACGTTCATATTACGAAGGGAAATGTGGCTGACAAATATTTACACTAAAAAGACTCCACATTTTTATGCCTCGTCTAGTTACACTCCCAGCTGTGCCTGGCTATGACTAGCTGTGCATTCTAGAGCTCTTTAGAGCTACTTCAGAGTTGCAGGATAAAGATTTCTAGGGAAGAGGGCAGGGCCAGGCGCCCGGAGAATTTCCAGCCACGGGCTAGTTTACCAAGAGAAAGAGCTGCGGGCGTCTCTCCCTCTTTTACATAAGAAAGGTAAGTGAGGAACCGCGAAGCAGTTTGACTTCCCAAGCTCTTTCAAACAGGAAACCCCGACCCTGGGAGGGACAGCCGGTCAGCCTTTTAATTTCCTGGTGGTGGCGGGAGTTAGCTAGGTCCTCGGCGCTTTAATAAGTGATGACTGCTAGGGCTAAGTTATTAAACGAACCAGCAAACAATTCAGCTGCGCCTCCGCCGCGCAGGGCGCTGGAGAAACAGAGGGTTAAAATACTCCCCAAGCCTTCCAGCTGCTATCTCTAGGGGTGCCTAGACGGCCACACTATAAACTTTCAGGGGGGTCAAAGGCCAAATCGGAATCAGCCGCTCTTGGCTGTTAAAGCTCGTGAGGTTCACTCCTGAAAGAAAGTGGAACTAGAAGCGCAGCCAGCCAAATATTTGAGGGGAGGGAGTCTTCTCTGAATCCCGCGCCCTACACCAACCAGCAGCGGACCTTCTCTTTCTCAGGGAGCTCTCCCAAGGATCCCCATCCCTCTTGCCATGTGCATTCCAGAGTTGTTGGAAAAAGTTGCCCCCAGTTCCCCCACATCCTGCCTGTTTCCTACAATCACTCTGGAAGCATCTCCCCTACCAGACATTCCCTCCGCGGGATCCCCTCAACCCCCCGAGAGTCATGCACAACGGGGTTCGTCACCCCCCCACCCCCACCCAGCTGCGCAGCCTGGGCACTGCCGACCCAGCCTGGGCTTTTGTCCCTACAGCCTGTAAAGAAGCAAAGAAACTTTGCGCCCGCGGAGCCCACTCACCGTCTCATCTTTCCTCCAAACCGCCGCTCTACGCTGGCGCCACCGCCCTAGCGCCTGGCCCTTGCCCCCGCCTACCCGGTCTCAGTCCGTGAGCCCGCCGGCCGCTCCGCACTCGCGGTGATCAGTCAGCGCGCCCCTCCTCGGCCCGGGCAGCCACTGCCTCCTCTCCGCCCCCAACCCTCCGCAGCGCAACCGGCGGCAACCAACTCGGGCGCGGGGGAGGCAGTGTCCCCGGGGCGCACTCCTGGCACACGGAGTCGGCGCCACCCCCTCCTTCCGGGCGACCACCGCCGCCTCCTCACCTGGCCATCGGTGTGGCCCGTTCCTGGCGGCGAGAGAAGGCAGGCTCGCTCCTTGCGCCACGCCACACCGTCGGGCTCCCCTCGGGCCGTAATGGTGGGCTCCGTGCGGCTGGGTCCGGCACCCCTGACCCCCTTTGTAACCACCGCGGCGCGCACCCAGGGAGTTCGAGCAACGAAGTTGGTGACCTACCCTGCTCCCAGGCAGTTTGCTGTTGGGGCTTTCACGGCTGCTGGAAGGGCCTGACTTTTTGCCCCATCACTGGGCGCCAGCTTCTCAAAGCTACGTTCACAGCAACGCAGTAGGGACTTTTGTAGCAGGCTTTTTTTAAGAGCTGAAAGAAGGGCGGGAGGGTTTACGTCCTCGGGTGATGATTTCCTCAACCGACAGCGAAGTATCTATTGGGAAACTCCAGGTGACCGCACCTCCTTCTGACAGTTCGCCCCGGGGCAAGTTTACCAGATGCGTCAGAAAGCAGGTTTGCAAAATCCTCAGAGAACAGCCTCAGCTAAGGACGAGGATCAGAAGGGTTTTAAACTCATTCTGATTTCCTTGCAATCACATCTCTTGAAAGTTTTAGTATTTTCCCCAATATTTTTCTGAGTTGCTATAACCAATGAAAACAATGCTGATGTAGATGTTCACCAGCCAATGCTTTATTGGAAGTCAACGAATGAGACCGAGGGTGGCCCATAATCGATCTCGGCACGCGGAAATGTGAACCTCTTCCAAGGTCTGGGCGAGTCTCTAGAGTTACACAGAAGAAGGACATTGGCCCTCGAGAATCTCACACCAGCAAAGAGGAGCACAACGAAGTGCAAATTACTTATGATCATTGTGGCTTTGGGCAAGTTGATGTAGCTCCCAGCAACAATTTCTTCACCTAGAGTGCAGCAATAAACGATACTGATGCTGCTAATAAGCTTCTGAATAATATATGCAAAGTACCTGACACCATGAGCATAACTCAGTATACTGTCACTGAAGAAATAGCTTATTTAATGCACTTTTCATATGTGCAAGTAAAAGTTTGACTTTTAATTTTAGGGAGAGCCTTACCTACGGAATACCTTTTTAAAAATTTTTTTTAAAATTATACTTTAAGTTCTGGGATACATGTGCAGAACGTTCAGGTATATTACATAGGTATACATGTGCCATGGTGGTTTGCTGCACCCATCAGCCCTTCATCTAGGTTTTAAACCCCACATGCATTAGGTATTTGTCCTAATGCTCTCCTTCCCCTTGTTCCCCATCCCCCAACAGGCCTCGGTGTGTGATGTTCCCCTCCCTGTGTCCATATGTTCTCATTGTTCAACTCCCACTTATGATGAGAACATTCGGTGTTTGGTTTTCTGTTCCTGGGTTAGTTTGCTGAGAATGATGGTTTCCAGCATCATCCATGTCCCTGCAAAGGACATGAACTCATTCTTTTTTATGGCTGCATGGTATTCCATGGTGTATATGTGCCACATTTTCTTTATCATTGATGGGTATTTCGGTTGGTTCCAAGTTTTTGCTATTGTGAACAGTGCTGCAATGAACATACGTTTGTATGTGCCTTTATAGTAGAATGATTTATAATTCTATGGATATATACCCAGTAATGGGATTGCTGGGCCAAATGGTATTTCTAGTTCTAGATCCCTGAGGAATCGCCACACTGTCTTCCACAATGGTTGAACTAACTTACACTCCCACCAACAGTGTAAAAGTGTTCCCATTTCTCCACATCCTCTCCAGCATCTGTTGTTTCCTGACTTTTTAATGATCACCATTCTAACTGGTGTGAGAATGGTATCTCATTGTGGTTTTGATTTGCATTTCTCTAATGACCAGTGATGATGAGCATTTTTTCATATGTTTGTTAGGAATGTCTGGTTTTTCAGAGGAATTTTTTCCCCTGTCCTGAGTTTTTACCCTGCAGAAGCATACATACACTCACCAATCCAACAGTTAAACAGTTAAGTGCTCCAGCAATGTTCTTTTCTCACCCACGTCATCTCTTTCCTCCTCTTTTTTGGATCATCCCCATGAACATAACATCATTTTATTTCCTTTACCCTGGAATTTTTTTCTTTTCTCTTTTTTTTTTTTTTTTTTTTTTTTGAGACAGGGTCTCACTTTGTCACCCAGGCAGGAGTGCAATGGCATGATCATAGCTTACTGCAGCCTTAACCTCATTGCAGCCTGAACCTCCCACTTCAGCCTCCATGAGGTGCAGACCACCATACCCAGCTAATATTGAATGTTTTGCAGAGATGGGGTTTCACCACATTGCCCAGACTGTTCTTGAACTCCTGGACTCAAGCAATCTGCCCACCTCCGCCTCCCTAAGTGTTGGGATGACAGGCGTGAGCCATTGTGCCCGGCCTCCTACTTCCCCTTTATCACTTACTTAGCCCCTGCCACAATGGCCTCCTAAACTAGATTCCTAGTTCCATCTCAGGGCCTTTGTTCTAATTGCCCTCTCTGCCTAAAATTCCCTCTTCCCAAGTAGCTGCATGGTTCACTCCCTCACTTCCTTCAAGACACTGTTCAGTGTCACTGTGTTGCTCAGGCCTGCTCTGACCACTCTACTTAAAGTTTAAAATGTGTTTTCCATACTACTTAAATTTATTTTTTGACAAAGTCACCACATTCTATTACATTGTAAAATGTACTTTTAAAATTATGTTTATTGTCTGTCTCTCCTCACTAGAATGTCAGGCAGGCAGGCAGGCAGAGAGCGTTGCCTGTTCTCTCCAGTGCTAGATCCCTAGTGTGCCTAGAAGGATGCAGGACATGTAAATGGTGCTCAAGAATAAATGATGGCTTTGACCCAAAGCACTGTGTTGCAAACATTTCCTTGCCTCGAGCAATGCCAGAAATACACTTGACTACACAGACATCTTAGAGACAACTTTTCTCCCTTCAGAAGATCTGAGGAGAATGCGCACCAACACAGCATATTTAGAATGGCCATAATTAGATTGCCAATATTTATGTCTAAGAAAAAAATCGCTAAATTTATTGAGAGCAACAATTACTATCATATACGTATCCGGTATTCTTCCAAATATAGGACAGTATTAGTTGATGCAACAACCCTATGACAGTTACTGTTACTACTCCCATTTTATAAGTGAAAAAAGGTTCACAAGTCAATTGTCACTCAGGTAATAAGTTGGTAGAGGCAGAATTTGAGCACTTGTTCTTGAGTTCATTGTCTTTAATGCTACCTTCTACCTCTTTCCTAAGTATGAATGTTACTAGAGGACATGTCTGTATAATGAATAATTCCTAATTACTAGACAAAAAGTAATCCTCACTGGCCTCCCTTCACTGCCTTGTTTTATCTGCTGGCATCTCTGTCTCATTATAGCCAAGCTCCTAGAAGGCAAAGGGAGTCATTTTATTCATATTTGTATGAATCATACTCCAAGACTTATACATGGAAGGGACTCGAAAAGTATTCATTGAATGTGACTTTTTCAAGTGACTAAACCCAGCAAAGTTTCCCATTCCTGATGAGTTAGAGTGGTTTTCAGTAGCTTTCATAAGGCCATAGCAGCCTGAAGATAGACGAGACCACCCTGAAGGTGCAAGTGTTAAATTAGATAAATTCAGTCCAGGCTCAGTGGCTCACGCCTGTAATCCCAGCACCTCGGGAGCCGAGGTAGCAGGACCGCTTGAGACTAGAAGTTCCAGAGCAGCCTGGCCAACATGGCAAAACCTTGTCTCTACTAAAAATACAAAAATATTAGCCCCGCATGGTGGTGCACCATCTGTAGTCCCAGCTACTCGGGAGGCTGAGGTAGGAGAATCACCTGAGAATTCAAGGCTGCAGTGAGCCATGATCGCACCACTGCACTCCAGCCTGGGTGGCAGAGTGAGACCTTGTCTCAAAAATAAAAAACAAACAAACAAAAAAACCAGACAAATGCAAATGCA